ACTATCGTATATTTACACAATGGAACACTACACAGCAATAAATAAATAAATAAATAAATAAATAAATATTTTCTTAAGTTTTTGATGGTACTGGCTTTAATTCTCAATCAAGTATTGAGTACCTGACCTATTTTGAGTCTAATACTAGGGGTAGAGCTTTGCATTTTCTTTTCACTACATTGACATGATTGACATGACAGGAAAAATGTCTTTTTTAAAATAAAGTATTTGTTTATTTTAGAGACAGGGTAAGGGAGGGAGAAAAGGAGAGAGAGAACCATCAGTCAGTCGCACACCTCCAATCAGGGGCCTAGCCCACAGCCCAGGCATGAGCCCTAACCAGGAATCCCCCACCAGCAACTTTTCACTTTGTGGATGATGCCTAGTGCACTGACCCACACCCGTCAGGGCAGGAAAAAAATCTTAAACTGCCAAATAAGGGCCTGTTGAAAGCAGGAATTACGGTTCCATTTGGGAAGTTCACTTGAAAAATAATCACAATAATAGTTACACTTACTAAGTACTTACTATGTGCCAACCTTACAAGCATTAACTCATTTACTTTTCACAACATCTTTTCTTAAAATATATTTTATTGATTATGCTACTACAGTTGTCCCAGTTTTTCCCCTTTGCCCTCCTCCGCCCAGTACCCCTATTACCTCCAGCAATCCCCTCCCATACTTCATGTCCATGGGTTATGCATATAAATTCTTTCACTACTCCAATTCCTATACTGTTCTTAATATTCCCCTATTTTGTACCTACCAATACGTACTTCTTAGTCCCTGCACCTTTTCCCCCATTCTCCCCCTTGCCCCTCCCAGCTGATAACCCTCCAAATGATCTCCATATCTGTGTTTTTGTTCCTGTTCTGCTTGTTTACTTCAAATGTTTTTTAGATTCAATTGTTGACAGTTGTGCATTTGTTGCCATTTTAGTGGTTAAAGCGTTGATTTTCTTTTTTTTATATAGTTACTTTTAACATTTCATATAATAAGGGTTTGGTGATGATGAACTCCTTTAGTTTTACCTTGTCTGGGAAGCACTTTATCTGCCCTTCAATTCTAAATGATAGCTTTCCTAGATAGAATAATTTTAGGTCTTTGCTTTTCATGATTTTTGAATACTTCTTGCCAGTCCTTTCTTGCCTTCAAAGTTTCTTTTGAGAAATCAGCTGACAGTCTTATAGGAACGTCTTTGTAGGTAAGTATCTGCTTTTCTCTTGCTGTGTTTATGATTCTCTCTTTATTTTTAACCTTTGGCATTTTAATTATGATGTGTCTTGGTGTGGTACTCTTGGGGTCCAACTTGTTTGGGACTCCTTGTGCTTTCTGGACTTGTACATCTATTTCCTTCACCAAATTAAGGAAGTTTTCTTTTACTATTTTTTTCAAATAAGTTTTCAGTTTCTTGCCCTTCCTCTTCTCCCTCTGGTACCCCTGCAATTCAGATGTTGGTACGTTTGGTGATGTCCCAGAGGCTCCTTATCCTGCTCTTGTTTTTTTTGAATTCTTTTTTCTTCTTGTTGTTCTGATTGAATGCTTTTCTCTTCCTTATGTTTCAACTTGCTGATCTGAATCTTGGCTTCATCTCTTCCACTGTTGGTACCCTGTGGATTTTTCTTTATTTCACTTAATGCAACCTTCATTTCTGCCTGGGTCTTTTTTATGTTGTTGGGGTGCCCAATGATTTGTTTGTGCGTCCTGATAATCAGTATTTTGAACTCTGCATTCTGATAGGTTGCTTATCTCCATTTCATTTAGTTCTTTTCCTGGAGTTTTGTTCTGTTCTTTCATTTGGGCCATATTTCTTTGTCTCCTCAATTTGGCTGGCTCCCTGTGTTTATTTCTGTGTATTAGGTAGAACTACTTTGACTCCCTGTTTAGTAGTGTGGCCTATTATAGAAAAGGCATGTGTAAATTATGTGGGGCAGAGCCTTAGGTAGTCGCCAGGTAGTCAACCTGTTTCACCACTTTGTGGCTCTGTGTTGGGGAGGGCTCAGAGAGGGGACAGTGCTGCTGCCTGGCTTCTGTAGATTGCCCGAGAGGAAGCTGTCTCCCTGGCACTCACCCCCTTGCCAGTCATTTCACTTTCTTCCCTTTTCCTCGTATGCCACTTGTGCCCTTCCAGTTGCTGCCCTGGTGCTAAATCCCAGAGGGGGTAGATCTGCGTGAGTCCTAAGTCTGTTGCAGGACCTTTAAGAGAAGTTTCTTGAGAATTGCAGTTTCTTCTGGCCTCAATCGCTCCCCCGCTCCACACTGGATTTTGCAGCCAGGAGTTACAGGGACTTTTCTTCCTGGCACTGGTACCCTGGGCTGGGATCGCTTGCTCCCGAGGTATCGCTCCTGATTTTTATCCACCACATGTGAATGTGGAGCTGCCTGTTCCACTGCTTCTCCATGCCTCTCTGTGCCTCCACCTTTCCTACCCATCTGGATGAATCTGGCTTCTTTAAATCCTTGGTTGTTGGACTTCCATACAACTTGATTTTGTGACAAATGTGGGTGAAAAATTTTGTAGCCTAGTCCTAATTTTTGCTGTAGTTATGCATGTTTACCTACTCATCCATCTTGTCCAGGTGAAGCATGTTTACCTACGCATCCATCTTGGCCAGAAGTCTCCATTTACTCTTAAAGTGCACTGGTTTTGATCAAACCCTCCAAAATCTCCCCACTCTCACTGAATGCTTGCATGTATTGGATGCTTGGGTCACATCCTGCTTTACTTTCAGAATATCTTTATAAGACAGGTACTAATATTATCTCCTTCTTACAGGCTAGGAAACTAAGGCAGAAAGAGGGTAACTTGCTCAAACTATGAAAGCTATTACATGGCATAGCCAGTACTGGAATTCAAAGGGTCTGGCTCCAGAATCCCCATTCTTAATTTCTAAATAAAGATGCTGTTTAAAACAGTAACAGAAAAAGTAGGAAGCTACTTCCGACAGCTGTAAAGTGTTAAAGAAGGAAGCTAAGCCACAAAGAGCCTTAGAATTATCCAAGATTTTTTTTTAAAAAGGGGAACCTATAGAAAATATGATATGCTTTTATTATTTTTTATTATTATTATTTTTACAAATCTCTAGCTTTAGGGAAAAAAACTTTAGAAGGAAGTTTATTTCCTCCTTTCTTACTCAGGTGGTGTCTCTAAGCAGAGTGTGAATTAAGGTTTCCCAAATATGTCAGTGCACTGCCACGAGACAGCAGTTCCCTAGTCCTGGTGGGTGTGGCTCAGTGGACTGAGCGCCAGCCTGCGAACCAAGAGGTCGCTGGTTCCAGGTTCCATCAGGAAACCCTGGGTTTGTGGGCCAGGTTCCCAGTTGGGGGCATGAGAAAGGCAACTGATCTGATGTTTCTCTTTCACATTGATGTTTCTCTCCCTTCCTCTCCCTCTCTCTAAAAATAAATAAATAAAATCTTTAAAAAAAATATATAGCAGTGCTTTAAAGAGTTGGGTAATAACAATTAGGTTTTTGTCACATAAACTGTTGCCAGCATAAAATTCTTTTCAGAGTGAAAGCTAAAAGTAGCAGTAGATGCCTATGATTTCCCTGATTGATATTTTGTTTTTTGTCTATTTTCCAAAATCTGCTAGAATCTTTCAGAATGTACACATTTTCTTTCCATAATGCCAGGGGACGTGTCCACTATATCATCTTCAACATTTTACTTTTCCCCACAAAGTTAGCCCAATTCAGGCAAGCCAATTTTCCGTGCTTTGTGTAAAGCGGAAAGTCAAGCAAAAGGTAAACAAATATGACACTTTCTAATTCTCCTTTGCTTACAGACTAGGACATAGAAATTTTGGCATTTCATTTTCATCATGATATGTGTCAATTTAGCAGACTAGATTGATGAGGAACTTTTTAGAATGAGCCCTCCTGATTCTAAGCTCCACCAAGCATTAGTGATCATTTCATGTTTCCTTTTTTGGCTTTGTGCCTTTGTCAATATTACTGCCTCAAAGTTCCCTTCAAGTGCCTAAGAGACAAAAATATTTTCCATTTGCTTTGTTTGTTTTGAAAATAAAGGATTAAAAAGTACGTATTTCTTGACCATAAAAAAGCATGCATAAACATAAAGAAAAGGCATATAAACTTCTGTAAATCAACCTTGTCCTTTGTTAGTACTTGTGAGCTTTTCTGAGTATAAATGGCAAAATTGGACTAGCAGAATCTCTGAGAAAAAGCTTTTAAGCTGGCAGCAATTTTAAAGAAACAACAGTTTAACTACAGATGAATGGCCATAGATTGCGAGCAATAAGAGCTACAAGCCTGAAACCTTGGGGTTCTCCACAATCTAATTTTGATGTCCTGACTGCTTTCTAAGGATTTACTGTACAAAGTTAGTCTCAATTTTCTTATTTTCTAAACTGTAAAATGAAAATAAAAATAATTGCTCACTACTGCTACAAAAAAAATCATGATATTCCTTTTAGAAACACTGTGACATTTATAAATTGATTGAACAAATGATTACAAAAAATCTGCTTAGATTAATTTACAAACATACTATGTTTGGGAAAAAGAAATTTGTGAGTAATAAATGATTATATTTCCTGACAGTGTATGCTGATAATTTTCAAATAGAGGGAGGGATGTGACCCACAGGGAAATAACAGAGTAACACCAAAGAGAGAGTAGAGAGGCCTAGAAGAAGTTAGCTGAAGGCTACATGTCCCCTGATGTCATAGAAGGAAAATGTGCACATTTTGAAAAATCCAGCAGGTTCTGGCAAATAGAGAGACAAAGAACAAAATATCAACCAGGGAAATCACAGGCATCTACCACTACTTTTAGCTTTTACTCTTAAAACAATGGACTTTTTAGTCTCTCATTCCTGCCCAGCCTGTAAAAGCCACTCACTCTTAAAGGTGCCGTAACACCTTATTTTTAGAGGAAGGGAAAATGGGGAGCTATGAGTTCCAAGGAAGATCACAAATGGGTGCAATAAATATTTTCTAGAGATTTGGAATAACAAAAAAAATCTTGTACTTACAACTTGAGACTCACGAGCTTTTGGAAACATTTTGGCAACATTGAGCCCATCAATGACAATATCAAAAGGAGAAGAGTATTTCACAAAGTTCTGAAATCTCTTAAGTTCCTAAAACAGAAAAATCAGACAAAGCACTAATAAGAACATAGTAAGGACTTTATTATAATCATACTGCTATGACTTTTATTATTGCTATGGGAATTCAAAATATTCATCTCTTAAAAATACACACACATAAAGATATTGTACTTTCAAAATGAAATTTGAAAAAGCCAGCCTAATAGATGCAGCTGCATATAATTATCTGACACATCTTATAATCTCATAGTGCTTTACACTTCACAGAGTACTTTCCCATGCTATTTCATTTTATCTGTAACCAGCTAGCCAGTCTGCTAAACTGAGCCACATGATAGTGATAATTTTAGATATAAAGATATAGATAAGCTATATCTATGGTGAAAAGCAGGGAGAAAATATGTATCAGTAAGCTTAAGAAAGTTTGAGTGGCAACATTAATGTTAGACAAAATAGGCTTCAAGAAAAGAAGTATTACAAAAAATAAAATGGACACTTCACAATGACAAGATCAATATACCAGAAGTCATACTTACATATATAAGAACAGAACTTTGAAATACATGAAGCAAAACTTGACAGAACTAAAAAGAGGAATAACTAAGTCTACAAGTATAGAAGGAGATTTCAACACTCCTCTCTCCTTAATGGTAAAACAAGTAGATAAAAACCAGTAAGGATAGAGAAGATATAAACTACATTACTTTGACTTGACTGGTATCTGAAGGATTCTATACCCAACAATGGCAGAATATTTATTCTTTTCAAGTACACATGGTACACCAACATACCCACAAGTTCTAAGCTATAAAATAAGTCTCAAATATTCAACATTTCAAAATAGTAAACAATGAAAGAGTATGATTTGTAATCACACACAAAAATCAGAAACCAAGAGCAGAAAAATATCTACAAATGTCCCTAACATTTCTAAATCATACTTCTAAATAATCTATGGGTCAAAACATAAATTATACAGGAAATTAGAAAATATTTTGAACTAAGTGGTAATAAAATATTATACATCAAAATTCATAGAATGCATTAGAGCAATACTTATAGGGAAATGTATAGCTTTAAATGCTCATGTGAAAAGAAGAAAGGTCTAAAGTCATTGATCTAAGTTTTCACCTTAAGCTAGAAAAAGAAATATTAAATTTCAAAGGCAGTAGAAAAACAAAGCATAGAATGAAAGAAATAGAAAACAGAAAAACAAGAAAAGTAAACAGAGAAAAAGTTGGGGGGAAAAATGAACCTCGATCCCTATCTCAGATCACACTAAAAAATTACTTTGAATAGATTACAAATCTAAACCAAAAAGCCAAAATTATGAAAATTCTTGAAGAAAACAGGCAAATTCTTCGCATCAGGAGCAGCATTTTTGTGATGTCTTCGACAACACAAAAAGTTATCACTGATATTCATATAGTATGCTTCTTAATACAAAGCCATTGAGAAGGACATAAACAGCATTCTTGTGATATTTTTGCCAAAAATTCATAACCTGAATCTAATCATAAGGAAACAAAGATAAAGCAATTTCTCAAACTGGGAGACACTCTACAAAATAATAGGCCTATAGTTTTGTTTTGTTTTTTAAGTGGAGGTCCAAGAAAGACAAAAACAAAAACAAAAAACCTGAGCTTCCTGTTGCAGATTAAAAGAAACCAAGGAAACAAGACAGCTAAAACCAAAGTGTGATCCTGAACTGGATCTGGAAAAGGAAAAGCTTAAAAAGGACATAATTGCGGCAAGTAACACACCTGAGCATCAACTGTGGCTTAGATAATATTATTGTATCACTGTTACAAAGATGAAGATATTCAATATAATTAGTCACTAGGGTAATGCAAATTTAAAATCACAGTGAAATATCACTATACATCCAATAAAAGGCTAAAATTAAAAAGATCAACCATAACAAGTATGTAGAGCAACTGCAACTTTCACACATTGCTGGTGGGAAATGGAAAATGGTATAAACCCTTTGAAAAACAATTTGGCAAGCTTCTTTTACAGTTTAGCATAGATATATATCTTACAACTCAGCAATCCCCCCCTCTAGTTATTTATAGAAGAGAAATGAAAACCTACATTCATATAAAGACTTATACATGAATGTTAATTAATGATGACTTTATTCCTAATTGCTAAAAACTGGAGACAATTCAAATGTCCGTTACCTGGGAATTAATGGGAAAAAAGGCGGTATATCCAGACAATAGAATCCTATTCATCAATAAAAAGAAATTATCGATACACACAACATGGATGAATCTCAAAAGTATTATGCTAAATGAATAAAAGGTAGACATAGAAAACTTACATACAGCATGATTTCAATTTACATGAAATTTATAGGAAAAACCATACCAACAGAAAGCAAATCAATCGTTCCTGTAAGTGGGGAGAGGGAAGCAACTGCAATAAACACAAGGCAACTTCTGGGGATAATTATCCCAAATCTTGATTATGGAGGTCTTATACAATTGCCCAAATTTCTCAAAACTCACTGAATTGTACAATGGCAAATTTTAGTATACATAAATTATACCTTAATAGAACTGACCAAACAAAAAAAAAAAAGAAAATCCTAATACTATACATATTTCATCTTTAAAAATAATCATTGATCCATACGCATACTTTTATTTTTCATAGGACTTTTTCTATCCTCATCGACTCTAGTTGTGTGGGACCAACTTCTTTCCCTTCTATTCAGCAAAACAACTTGTTTTAAAATTTCTCTACTCAAATATACTTCCTACAAATGTTTAGAAAGTTCCAGTTAATACCAAAACTAACTAAATATTGGTTAGAGTAGGGATACTACTCTTTTTATAAATGGAAATCTATCAAGGAGATTAAAACAGTTTACATGTAACATGACAATTTTTTGTTTTACTCTGAAAGAATCAAGGGAAACAAAACAAGTACATTAAATTTCTAAAATTTGAGTTTCACTAATAATTAACATGAACAAGATTTCCTACTACACATCCAATTTATCATTTTAGTGCTGCTCTTAGTACTACATTATATTCACCTCAGAAATAATGACAAACTAAGGTATTTCGGTATTACTGGCAAAATGGACATCTGTAAAAATCAAGAGTTAAACTAGATAACTTATAAAATCCCCTTCCAGTTCTGATACTGTATGTTAACAACACTTGGAAATCCCTTAAAATCACAGAATGGAAAAGGGTATACTTGAGATGGTTTTTTGAAAGGTGAGTTCCAAGAGCCTCTATGTAATTACAGGATGTGTAATAAAAAATTAAAAAAAAATTCCATCCAAAGATTATTCTCCTGACCCACGTCTTCTAATAGAAAATTCCAAGATGTCAGGTTGGGTTTTTTCCCCCCATTATTAAAGCTCCCTTACTAAGTATATAACTAGTCTGGGATTCTTAGTAATACTTCCTTCCTGTGGGCCTCTAAAATGCTCAATTTTCGAACTACACAAATTTATGTCATTGCAGTCAAAAGCCTCTGAATCATGCTGAAAAGGCACGACAAAGAATTAGTTGACCTACTGAGATAGCAAAGTAACTTTGGCATAGGGCATTACAAATCTGCAAGCTTAGCTGCTTTAATGGAGGGTAAATTTAAACAAAAAACAATTATTTCTTTGTAGGGCTATTGCTGGGATTGTGCTTGATTACAGATTGGGAAATGATACGGCATGGGAAAATCCACTGATCTTTTCATAATTTTTTCTTGACTATTAATAAAAGAAGTTCTTAAAAAAACAATTTTATTGAGATACAACTCAAATACCATTCAATTAACTTGTCTGAAGTGTATAAGTCAACTCATAGGTTTTGCAACATTGCCACAATCTATTTTTAGAACACTCTTGTCCCTCCTTAGAAGAAAGTTTATCTTCATTAGAAGTAAGTCTCCATTCCACCACTCTACCACACAGCAACTACTAATCTACTTTCAGTCTCTATAGATTTACCTATTGTCGACATTTCATATAAACCGAAAAATACAAATGTATGGTTTTCTGTGACTGACTTCTTTCACTATAGGTAACGTTTTCAAGGTTTAATCCCTATTGTAGCATAAATCAGACTTCATTCCTTTTTATTTTTATTACTTATTTATTTTTTAAAATAATATTCCATTGTATGGATATATCACATTTTATCTATTTATCAGCTTAAGGACATTTAGGTTATTTCCACTTTTTGGCTACTATGAATAATGCTCCTGTAAACATTGGTGTAGTTTTTTTGTATGGATGTGTAACTTTGCAGAACTTGCAAATACTGCGACTTTCAACACAGGTTGTTAATTTAAATGCTTTACAGAAACCAGGCAGGCAACATAAGTAAGATGGGCCAAGTCTAAGAAAATATAAGAGAACAGGCAAAATGATAAATAGTAAACGGCACAAGTCTCATTTTCTAATATTTGACAGAAACAAGTGAAGACTACGACAAACTGGAGAATGTAGTTCCTTTAAAATAGGAGCAGCCCAGTACTCAATCCAGCTAATTGTCACCACACAAAATTAAAGTTCCAGGGCTAGCCTTGATTTGATTTTCAAGGAAAGTAAAAAATCTGGCATTCTGAAATATGCCAGTAATGTTCTTATGAGAGTAAAACACAAAGAAGCTCCAACAACAACAACAAATATATATACACACACACATATACATATATATGTGTGCGTATATATATATGCGCTAGATTCTACCCTTAAGCCATAACTTTATAATACGTTTATTTGGACAGTCAACAGATGTTCATTATGTACCTATTATGTGCCAAATAATGTTCTAATTCCTAGGAACAAAATAGTTTAAACAAATGTATTCCCTCAAGAGATTTAATGTTAGTGGAGGAGACAAGCAAAACCAAGGCAACAAAATAGATAATCAATTTCAGATAGAGAAAAGTGCCTTGAAGAAAAATTAAGCAGAGTAGGTATTAGCACCACTCTCTATGACCGCTCTCTATTTGAGATGTGGTGAAAGGAAAAGGCCTTTCTAATGAGGAGACATTTGAACAGACCT